GGACATGAAAAAGTGGTATCGTGCCATCTCTAATGCAGACTGATGACGTTAGATTTTAGTACCTGCTCAGATCGCTTGGAACCCCGGCCGAGTGGGTACTAAAAAAGTACCAGCTCCTATGGCCTAATGAAAAACCCCGAAAACCTGGGCAAACCGTGCCGAGTCGATAAGTAGATACTGATGGAAAAGGGGCTTTAAATTGATTAGTGTGGGTGTATTTATATATTTGAGCCTCTACCTATACTGTTGACCCTGTGTGGATTAGAGGAAATCCCAAAAACAATACAAGTTGTGCAACCAGCTCTTGTTTTTTAAAATTATAAAAAACGTGTGCTGTATAATCATTCCCTGGAAAAAGCACGGTTTAAAGAAATCATGACATTCATGCTCATGATGAACATATGAAAACTTCTGATCTCTTTGAGTTTTGCAAGTAACTCTTTAAAAGAAAAGCCATCAGCTCACTGACAATCATGTTGTGATGATACCAGTATTAATGTTGTGTTCTTTGGTATTGTGACCACTTTAGTGTCTGGGCAACCACTACTTTAAGGTTTCAGTGTGGTTACTTTCCCTTAGCTATATCCAAGTCTGTGCAAACAGTGTAATTAAAGATAATCACTTGCAGTTTGAAACACTGAATCAAATGGCTAGTAAGGACTCTAGTTTTACTGTACATCATTTGTATTACATGGGCTAAAACAAAAAACACTGGTATGGTCCATTTTAAGCATTAATGAAAAGAATCAAAACTTTATTTTACTTAAAATGGGCCTATTGTGCTTTTTTGTTACTTTCTGTCATATAAAGTTATCCCTTATATGGTCATTTGAAGCACAGAAGCCCCACCCACCCCGTGATTAAAAAGTCTCTTAATAAGATGCAGCCAATCAGAAGAAAGTTCCCTTAAAGAGTTGGTGCCCTTAAAAGGGAGGGGAGTTGAAGTGGAGTGTATCAAACTATGAATGAACTTGGTCAGTACCGAGGTTCAGTATACGACAAGTAATGATTATTTTGAACTGCCAATCGTGCAAAGCTACAAAGTTCAAGAATAAAAATCTGGAAATTAGCAAAATAGGGCCACATTAAGTAGTAAACATGAAATCTTAAGCCAAGAAATTCAATGTGTTAAAACTGTGCCTTAACAGCCATTCTGCCAATCATCCCCTTCAGTGGTGCCCTACCTGAGCGTCCACAGTCCGCACAGGAAATAAGGTCTTCAGGACAGCCGGTCTTCTTTGAGCCTCCGAGGCAAAAGTCGCAGTAGCCGTTGGCAATGACTGAGCCATCCGCTGCTTTCTTGGCTGAGAGAAGAAAAAGAAAAAGGGGGTAAGAAAAACTTTCTGCCAACTGGACTCCTGGGGAAAAGAGGATGAAGAGCAAGAGTGTAAATTCATAAGTCAGTGTTATGAAATGTTGCCTCGGGGTGAAGAGGCTGTATCAGTCTCTCGACAGTGAGACAGATTGAAGAGGGAAAACCTATAAAAGTCATATCAGATGAACAAAGCAGCCATCACTGAGGTGTGCTGGGAAGCATGGCCAATGGAGTATTACAGAATACGAGTGATTAGAGATAAAATGATGAGATAACAAAGCAAAAGAAAGTAGACGTGTAACTAAGTCCTGGTCACCACTCATTATTATATATTTACTTTGGTAAAATAACCACCAACGCAGGTCTGCTCTGGAGCCTGGGACTCTCCAAACACTGGCTCACCCAGGGAGGGTGGGACCGAACAGAAGGGAACGTCCGCTGGGAGCCCCTGGGGTCTAGCAAATATTTTCAGGAGTGGAGGAGGAGGAGGAGCAGAGGGAGACAGAAAGAGAGAGACCGTGTGTTCCCGTGCATGTTTGCGTGTGCTTGTGGATGTGTGCACGTGTCTGTGCATGTGTTGGGGGCTGCCGGGACAGACCTGCCATCATGCTGAGCACGGAGAGGCAAGTGCTCCATGTGAAGCCGTTTCATAATAATTATTAACAAAGAGAAATTCCCCCTGCTTGCCTGAGTGCTGTGTATATACTGTAAGTATCACTGTATGTGTGTGTGTATGATCCACACGTACCCCTTATCTCTCTGTCTGACTGTTGGTCTTCCTGCCTGTCTGTCTGTCTCCTGCCTGTCTCACTACTGTTGATTGCATAATCACTTTAATGGAAGCAATCACATAACCACTGCAGACTATTTGTATGTGTGCTTTCGTCTCAAAGATGTAATGCAGTGGACGGGTCCTTCACAGTGAGTCACCAGGCTGGTGCACTGGTGAATATACAATAGAGTGGATTATACAGGTACACACTCACACACATACAAGCCCAAGTGGAAAACCATTCATCCCGCAGGAAAAAAAAAAGCACTATAAGCAATACTGTGGTTGTGCTCTTATGAGAGATCATTAATCCATCCATTTATAAGGGTGGAGTCTTGCTAGGCCGGAAAGGGGAGGAGAGGGTGAATTTGATGGAATTTGATGTTGGAAAGGGGAAGGTGGAGTGAGAGGAAGAGATTGGGTTTCTACTCGAAAGGGTACGTCTTTAATCCCCAGTGAGAAATAAAAAAGGAAAAAAAAGTCCTGATCAAGATGAGAGACTGGCAAACATAAAGACAGACACATGGGAGAGGAAAGAAATAATGCACTGTGTCTGCTACAGCAAAACCATAAGCAGTAGGCTCTATATCATGAGATCAGTGTAGTACTGTGCACCGTAACTCCGAGCCTGGTTATGCACTTTCATACTCTATATTGTAGAATCATGAATACTACCATCTATATTGGGTTATCGACTATCAACGGAGATAGCAATGACAGTAGATTTACTGTATGTGTAAAACAGTGTCTATCTAGTCCCCTAGCATTTCAATATAAATGGCTGCAACCTCATATTTCTCAATAATCTCTTCTGCCAGTGGTGATATAATGAGATCTGCTGGTGTCAGCTTTTTCAAATGATGATAGTTTAATTGAAGAAAAAAAAATTACCTGCACATCATCAGGCTGGTGTGCTGGCAAAGGTTAGACAGATATGTCCTGCCCTATTTTTCCCCCTTAATTAAAAATCATCAGCCAGCCAGTGTGGTCTTTTTTGTGGATCCAATTAATGAAATGAAACGCCAACAAATCATAATCACCAATATATTCTTATGTTTTTTTCTTACTATAATATTGACCAAGCTGCAGTTAAATAGTGGTAAAATTACATTTTATCCAAAATTAAATAAATATTAAAAAATACAGTTCTTACATTTTCAAGTACATTACAGCAAGTCTAGCGGTGGGGGCAGTTATCTTGGCTTAATATTACCATCAGAAACCTATCATGTCTGTGTGCTAGCATGTTAGCATAATGTTTTAGTGCTTTTGTAGCTATTAATAATTCATCAATCATCATAAAATTCCCACCATGTCATTATACTTGCTGCTTACTGTAAACTGCTGGCTGTCTGTTACATAGGAAATAAATCTGAACACAGCACAGGCATACGAAAATCCCCGTTTTAGCTATGCATGCCGGCATGCTAATATTTGCCACTTGCACAGCTGAGGCTAGCACTATCCTTGATCGCTGCTGATGACCAAAGGTATTTCATTCAGAAAAATTATCAGGGACAGACATCCCATTCAAAGGATCCTAAATTCATATATTGGAGATAAAGTATCTGAATTTCAGGAGCGGGACCACGCCTCCAGTTCTACAAGCTGTTCGTTCTCGTTCACGTGCCCCACCCTCCCTCTCCTTTTCAGTTCTTCACTTCTATTTAGTACATGGGGAACTGCCAGGCCTGAGAGCTGCCGCCAGTCCCCTTCGTGGCCTTCCCCAAACTGCAAATCAATTCATGTCTAAGCCTCACCTTATCTACTAAAATGCTGTCAAACCTAAAATGAGGACATGGGCCCAGCGAGTAAACATGCATTTAATACATATAACATACATATAATGAAAATCACAGCAAGAGCAAAGATGGTGGTAAAATTTCCCTTGCTTGGGTAAAAAAGCTTTAGAAAGCCTTTTATCGAACAAACACGGCAAACTTTTTTAGTGGATCAGAACTGACTGGAGATTCTTAAAATGTAATTTTTATGTCCAAAACAAATAGACAGTACTTCACAATAATTGTCCAAATAGCTCCCAGGGGTATTCAGAATAGCAGCAGAGTGGTGAGGCTTGCTTCAGCTCATCTAAATGTTTGTACAAGTGTTTTCAACTCACAGATGTATAGTGATAAGTCATTGTCCTGCTATGTTTCAAATCCATCCATCCATTCATTTTCTTCCACTTATCCAGTTCAAGGTGGCTGGAGTCTGTCCCAGCTGCCGCAGAATAATAGACAGGTGCACCCTGGACAGGTTGCCAGTCTGTCGTAGGACTAACAGAGAGAGACAACCATTCCCACTCACGTTCACATCAATGGGTAATTTTAAATGAATAAATAACTCCACTACCTGCAAGTCTTTGCCCAGAGAGAACCCACACAAACACGGGGTGAACATGCAAACTCCACACAGAAAGGCTACAACCAAATGGTGGACATTCTTGATTCCCGTGAGACAACAGTGCTAGCCACCGCACCACGGTGCTACAAATTCACTGTAAATAAAAATGTCAAGCTTATGGTAAGACTGGAGGAAAAGTCAGAGGGTGTTAGCACCATACTTACAGAGACCTTCCAGTCTGAACCAATGCGCTGGACCAATTAACTCAAGCTGCCACACGCTAGCGTCGATCCTGGGCCACATGTGCAAACCGTGTGACGATTTGTTGCTCCATCAAAATGAAGCACAGGACACAGTCGATCAAGAGCGCAATGATCCTGGATGAGGATGCCGCAGCTATTTAAGTGTATTTACTTCTAAAGAAACCAGTGCAGCCAGATGTTTACTGCAGGAGGATGTATAAAGCTGTAGAGACATATGCGGCTCGCAGGCCTGCAGCCAATGCAAACATGTTTTTGTCTTCTTGTTCTGGTCAAATAAATTGCTTTTATCTTCACTCCTTTTATTTGGGCTCACCGCTGCTGACTGGACCTCACAATTCCTGGCGGGATAAACTAGACAGACACACATGTGGATACACACACATGAATGAAACACATTCAAACTGTATTTCATCTGTGTCTCTGTAGTTGGGTGTGCACGTGCAGATCTTTGTTTGCCTTTGTATTTCTGCATGTGTGTGTGTGTGTGTGTGTGTGTGCTAGGAGGCCCCTGAGAGTGAATCAGCAGGTCCTGATGCATGTGAGTGAGTCGGGGCTGCCCGCTGGCCTGCCTGCGTAGACGAAAAAACTCATCAATGATTAAACGCCTGTGGCCATGTTTCAGAAGCTGCCTGCAACCACAGACACGCCATTGCCGGCAAATGGTGGGAGGGAAGGAGGGAGAGAATGGCGATAGAGAGAGCGAGACAATAAAGAGGGCTGAGCTAATGAGCAAAAATAAAAGAGATATATACCAAAGACTGAAAAGACTGGCAATCATCAGGTACCTTTCCTTCTCCTTCTCTTCCTCCTCCAGAACCCCTCAGTGCGGTTGGCTCTTCCCCACCTGTCTCCTTTTTTCCCTTCACCTCCATCTCCAAAATTTTAACCTGCCTCAACCACCCTTTCCTTTCCTTTCTTTCTTACCTGCATATCTCATTCCTATACCTGACTGTCCTTTCCCTCGCTCACTCCCTCCCACCCTCCCCTCCCCTCCCCTCCTCTTCCAATTACCAGGAGGAGTATGAGCAGAACCGCACACTTCACAGCTTTCAAGTGTTGGAGAAAGATCCTCCTGGGAATTATCCAGCAAGAGATGAATCCTCAAATGCTCCTCACCCCCACCTCCTCTCCCCTGCTACAATACCTACCCTTCCCCATTCTTCCCCATCCCCGTGCTTATAATTTCTCTCTCCCACCCCGTCTCGTTTTCTCTCTCCTTTCCTCCTTCACGCTGCTCCTCGGTAACCTTGTGTTTTTTCGCCCTCCAAGCAACCTCACGCCGTTGTGTCTGCACAGCTGAGGTGTGTCACATTACTTTTTGCAGACTAACTGTATTCGCTCAGTTATTTTTTGTCATGTTTGCTTTTTTAAAATTATTGTTATTACTACATTTATTAATGGTTTCACGAAACTGGGGATTTCTCACAAAGAAAGAGGAGAAGGTGTTATTTTAAAGTTGCTTTTTCATGTTTTGCTTCCTCACCAGAGCATGCATTACCAAGAAAAGCAGCATCTTTTTAGATGCACATCACTGCCCATTGAAAAAACAAGCTAAAAATGTTATTTAGTCATAAAATATATTGTTTTCACCTTTGTGGTAATGTATTACTC